ACCCGCTCTGATCGCTAAGACGTCTAAAAAGACTAAATTATTGTTGATCTCCATCTCCATTGTCAACTCAACATTGCAATCAATCTTGTTAATTAAAAACAACAATTTATCTAAAATATCCTTTTCATGCTGTCATACGACAAAGTAGTCATCCATCTCTCACCTCTTCCGTGAAGTGGTCCTCCATTCTTGACATGCAATTATGAGCCCACATTGAAGAAGATTACTTCGAAAACGGCATCAAGAAAAATGTTTCAGTAAAGTCAATCGACAGCAGGTCAAGAGGAATCCGTTGCTGGTCGTCTTCTGGTGGAACTGACCTGCGAATCTCTTCACCCAACCAACACTTTCACACGAAATTGAAGTAAGCTCAACAATTCAACATCAACGTCTTTTCTCTTCCAGCGTAGTGGATGAATTGTCGTAATTAAAGCATAATGGACGGTTAATTATGGGCCATTTTGGCTAGTAGTTAAAAAATGCTATAAACAGAAAAAATATTCAACCATCGTAATTATCGTCTCTAAGTCAGACAGTAATAAAAGTAGTAAGTAGTAGTAAGTAGTTGGATAAATTGGCCGAATTTTCTGTTTAAACCGTCTTGTGGATGAAGGAGAGTTTTAGTTGATAAAATATTTGCCTTTACTCAAACGAATTATTTTGGCAGCTGATACAACAGTCCAGTTTGAGATGACAATTAATTATTTCTGGGTCAGAATGTATGAAGATGAAATACAAATTGCAACTATCCTCTCCACATTTGAGGGTCAACTTACCACTGGTCCACTGATGCCGAAGAAGCCCGGCGGTCCCACCGGACCCTGGGGTCCCGGGGCTCCACTGGGTCCCGGCGATCCCATCATGCCCTCATCTCCCTTCATTCCTATTGGTCCAGACTGGCCCACAGATCCCCGAGGTCCTGGGGATCCCTGAGGCCCGGGTGGCCCGTTCAGACCGAGCGGTCCCATTGGTCCGGGATCGCCCTTCTCGCCCTCCCGACTGCGCAGGCCCACGGGCCCATCGACACCCTTCTCGCCCGGGTTGCCGGGATAGCCATAACCACCAGTTGCCCCCTGGTCGCCCTGTCGACAGATGGTAGTGTCGAAGTGGGAAAGAGAGAGAGGGTTAAACAGTCTATCAAAAGTTTATTGGAACGTCAGCAGAAAGTTTAAAATTTTGC